GTCCAGGCCCTAAGTTCAAGCCCCATGATCAGCTTCCCCCCCCCCATCCCACCCTCCTTCCAGCAAAAAAAATTCTTGTATACCTGTAGAAACGACTATAGTGATAGAAGACAGGTCTCCTACTATTCATATCAGGAGTGGATCAGAGTGGACTTCTTCCTCCTCACCCACCGTCTGGTACCTCTACACTCTTCTCTTGGTTCCTTAGTATCTCCCCAGCAGAACTATCAGTTTTTTTCCTTAACAAATTATTGGCCATCACTAGAGGTAACATCTGGTCAGTCAGAACTATAAGCTATAACTGCCCCTCTGCCATCCCAGCAAAGAGAGTATAGTTCAGGGATAGATCATTTGACTACAGATCAAGAGGTCTATGGTTTAAATCCAGGTGTCCCCCATTAGTGTTCTTTTTTTTTTTTTTTTTTTGCTGGTTGTGGGTCTGGAACTCTGGGCCTGGGTGCTGTCCTTCAGCTCTTCAGCTCAAGGCTAGTACTCTGCCACTTGAGCCACAGCGCCACTTCCAGCTTTTTCTGTTTATGTGGTGCTGAGGAATCAAACCCAGGGCCTCATGCATGTGAGGCAAGCACTCTACCACTGAGCCACCTTCCCAGACCTAGTAGTGTTCTTTTAAAGATAGATGTCATGTCATGGAAAAATCAAAGCAACGGAAACAAAGCAGAGAAATTACCTCTTCAACATTTGTGATATGTCCTGGGAATAGGGAAAGTGATGACCCATCCTCCTCTTGTCTTCACATTCTAGTATCCAAAGCAACATGCTAACATGCAAATAAATGGCTGTACAACACCAGGAGCACTTCTTTGGGGGGAGGAGGGGTTGTGGGGCTTGAACTCTGGGCCTGGGTGCTGTCCCTCAACTCTTCAGCTCAAGGCTAGTGCTCTACCACTTGAGCCACAGTGGTGACACTCCGGGGTTTTTTTTGTTTATGTGGTGCTGAGGAATTGAACCCAGGGCCTCATGCTTGGGAGGCAAGCACTCTACCACTAAGCCACTTTCCCAGCCCGGCAGCATCTTTTGTGTCTATGTCTGGCCAAGTATGGTATGGAGCCCTCACAGAAAGTCTTTTTACAATAACTACATATCTCCTCCGTCCGCCCCATGCCATAACTTCTTTTTCTTCCAGGGCTGGGGACTGAAGCCAGAGAGGTAAGTGCTTCACCACTAGATTGCTGGGTTTTTTTTTGTTGTTGTTGTTTTGGTTTGGTTTTTGCCAGTCCTCGGGCTTGAACTCAGAGCCTGGGTACTATACCTGAGCTTCTTTCACTCAAGGCTGAGCCACAGCACCACTTCTGGCTTTTTCTGTTTATGTGGTACTGAGGAATCTAACTCAGGACTTCACACATGCTAGGCAAGTACACTACCACTGAGCCACATTCCCAGCCCCTTCTGGTTTCCTCATTAATTGGAGATAAGAGTCTCATACTACTGAGCCTGATGCCTATAATCCTGCCTACTTGGAGCCTGAGATCTGAGGATAGCAGTTTAAAGCCAGCCCAAGAAATAAAGTCCCTGAGACTCTTATCTATAAGTAACCACCAGAAAGCTGCAAGTGGCGCTGTGGCTCACCTTGAGCTAAAGAGCTCAGAGACAGCACACAAGCTCTGAGTTCAACCCCATGACCAACCAAAAAAAAAAAAAATTGAGGGGCTGGGAAGGTGGCTCAGTGGTACAGCACTTGCCTTGAATGCATGAATGAGGCCCTGGGTTCGATTCCTCAGTACCACATAAGCAAAAAGAAAAAAGCTGGAAGATGGGGCTGGGAAGGTGGCTCAGTGGTAGAGCGCTTGCCTTGCATGCCTGAGGCCCTGGGTTTGATTCCTCAGCACCACAAAAGCAAAAAAAAGAAAGAAAAAGAAAAAAGCTGGAAGAGGTGCTGTGGCTCAAGTGACAAAACTTGTTAGATATGATGAGAATTTTAGCAGATATAGTATTGATTTCTTTCTGGTAAACCTAATAGTGCTTAAGTTAACCAAAGTTACAGAAAGAGCCTTAGCTTTTACAAATCCAAAGCAATCTTTCACTAGGAAATCAGCTGGATGTGATGGAGCCAAGTAACACTCCAGTTTACTTTTACCATGGTGGTGTTAGTCAGGATGGTCTAGGTAGGAGTAAGGCCTGTCTTCCAGGTTGGAAGAGATGGACTGGATTTGGACTGCATGTAGACTGGCTAGCACTGAACTACATATCCAAACTGAACAAACTTCAGGAATATCAGATAATTTAAGCCAAATAACTTGATTACAATGCCAGATAACAAGTTTACACAGATACAGACATACATGTATAGGCGTGCACACACAGAATCAAGTTGAGGTCTGTATGAAATTGAGTTGGCACGAAATAGCAGCTGAACTCCCATGATGCCAAGATGGCGCTTTAGCCACCTGGTCAATGCTAGAAAGAGTAAAGATTTTGACAGTAAGGGTTCTATCACACATGAAGCTTCAGGTTCCACCCCCACTACAAAGGCAGAGGAGGGGTCCCACAGGGGAGGGGGGGGTTTGCAGGAAAGGCCTTAGAGGGGGGCCCTCGCAGGGAGGCCACAAAGGACGGGGTGTACCTCACTAGGGAGGCCGCAAGTGCGAGTTTCTCATGAGGGAGGCTGCAGAATAGGTGGAGTAGTAAGCTTGGTGGAAGGTTAAGAGTCAGATGAGACCTAATCCTTAACCTACCATGTGGCCAGATGGCGAACTCAAGATGGCGAATTTCTGAAAAAACGCAAAGAAAACCTAAACAAATGGAAACTCACAATTTTCAAACCTAGAATGGCTAGCCTTTGCGAGGGAACCTAGAGGAGGGGTCCCTGGGACCCAGCCTGCGTTGCACTCTTCAGGGTACAAGCCAAAATGTTGTAGAAAAGAGAAAGGAAGAGATAGGGAAAGTTAGACATGATTGGCAGAGAGACAGCAAAGAGAGCCTGAAAGTAAACAGACTTCTGACCATTTACCATTGCAGTGGCAAAAACTATCTAAGTGTTCTGGCTTTCCAGGGAGCGCAGGAGGCATCTCAAAGGGTGAAACCCCTTGGTTGGGTGTGACTCGCAGCACCCCATTAAATGTGTAGGAGAGTCAGTCTGGTGAGTGAAGGAGAGATGACCAGGGAGAAGCGGCGTCCCGACTTCCCCCAGAGCACTCTAGAGAAAAATGGCCAAGCCCCCAAAATCAAGTGTCCTCGTCTTTGGAAGTTACTGGCCTTTTGGCTAAAGGCCGTAGGAGCTCTCTGGCATGGTGCCTGGACAGAGACTGAGCAACAGAGAACCATAGAGAGTAGTTCCACTCACCAGAGTAGAGAAGTGGTGTAGACTTGGATGTGAAGGCCAGCAATTGTTCTGGTGAAAAGTCTCGCATGGTGTCTCAAGGCAGTTCAGTTCACAGAAAAGGGGTGGTTAAGGAAATTCTAACATTTCCAACTCAAAAACCCCATCTGAGTCACAGCACCATATGTAAGGTATATTAAATAGGTTTCATTAGGTAGCCGATGAAGAGACCACCATGCGCTATTCAGAAAGGAGAAGTTTATTTACCGAACTGCTGCCCTTGCCATGCTTGATGGAGAAGCATGACTTCCCTATTTGATTTTGAGCTGCAGTGTCTCCTTACCCCTTAACAATGTTTTAAAATGTGCCTATTGTTTGGGGTCAAATACCTGCCTTGAATACCCCCCTCTAGGCAGAAAATAAACTCCAGGGGCACAATGTTTATCTATTTTACTCTGCTCCCAAACGCAATCTAATATGTGCCCTGGACAGACTCTGATATGAAGGAGGTGTTGAATATGTACATGAATGCAGGCTTCAGTGGAAGAATGAAATTGGGTGTGTGTGTTGGAAGTGGGGGGGGGGTGGTGATGGTGTACCAATCACACATTGAATGTAGTGCTTTCTCAATTGTACTTCATTCTAATGAGACCATTTAGAACCCACTTAAAACTCCACCCTATACCTTATTTTCCATAGGAAATCCCTACATAAAACTTGATAGTAAATTAAGATTAATACACTTTGCCAGAGAACCACACAGACATCCAGGTACAGAAAACAAAGAAAGGTTTATTGCAGGGAAAGGGGGGCCGGCAAGACCCCTTCTTACAAAGAAGTGAGAAAAAGCACCGGCTATTGTCTGGGTTGACCTATATAACCCAGGAGGTTTAGGAGGGGCTAGAAGGCGGAAACCCTGGCTCCATGTCAGACTAGGATTTATGGCTGCTCTTCAAATAGTTGTTGCCTTATGTCATGGTAGCTGCCCCAGAGAAGTGCCATCCCAAGATAAAGGGGGCTGGAAGTTGATTATTTACTGCCTTTACTTCATGGGCTTAATGCTGCCTAGGAAGAGAGCATGCTAAACTGTGGAGAAGGAAAGGAGTGGACTAAGCTATGGGAAGGGACTCATTTCGCTAACAAAACTTTTTGTTGTTGTTTCTCGACGCTGTTTCTGGGGCTTGAACTCAGGGCAGGCCTGACTACCACTTGAACCACTTCTGAGTTTTTTGGTGCTTAATTGGAGGTAAAGAGTCTCACGGGCTTTTTTTTTTTTGCCGGGCTGGCTTGGAACTGCCATCCTCAGATCTCCGTTTCCGAGCAGGCAGGATTACAGGGGTCATCTTACCCACAGGCGCCCGGCTCAGCTTTACCTATTTTTCAGGCAAGGTCTGGCGTTAAATTTAGCCTAGGCCCGCCTGCGAACGCCACCTTCCTACCTCTGCACGGTAGCACACACGGCTTGTGAGTTGAGATGGGAGGTCTGGCTGTCTGCCCGCGCTGGCCGCGGGATGCCAACCTCTAGCTCTAGAGTAGCTGGAATGAAAACGCCGCACGATGCCTCGCCACGTCCGTAAGGAGACGCCGAGAGCCTCGTGTGCTTCCGCAAACCTCAACCTCTCGCGATACTCGTAGCAGCCACAGCTCAAGACGACGTCCAGGACTGACTACGTAATAAGGCTGCGCTTGAGGAAGGACGCGGGTTTAACTAGCTCTCGGTCACGTGATGAATGGGGGCGGGACATTACCTTCATATCCCAGTATCCTTTGTACTTACTTCCTTTCTGCCCTTTTCCGGCGTCCAAGATGTCCAAGCGAGGTGAGACTGTTGCACGGGAGAATCCTCCGCCATCTGAAGCGCTGTGGCTTCGGGCCTCTTAGGGAGCTGCGGTTCTGGGCGTCAGGAGCTCCTTTCTCTCTTCTGGGCCTGAGAGGGAGAACATGAGCACAGCAAGAACACTGAAAGGGTCCCGAAAGTGGCGGGGGGGTGGAGCGGGAACGTTAAGATGGTAGGATCGGGGCCTGACTTTAAGCTGAACCGGGTGAGCTGTCTTCTCTCTTAGTACTATAGTAGTGGGGTGGCAGCTGGGCTGGTTTGGATCCAGTTTGTGGAGTCTGTGCGGTCTTTCACCTTGCCAAGATAAGTGTAGACAAATGATCACATCCCGTTTTCCTACCCGCAGGACGTGGTGGTTCTTCTGGTGCGAAGTTTCGGATTTCGCTGGGTCTTCCCGTAGGAGCTGTGATAAACTGTGCCGACAACACCGGTGAGTCTGGCAGATCCCTGCCACCCTCCCTCCCCCTTTTAAAAGCACTCAATGGGCCTTCTGCTAGTGACCTATTGAGCCGTCAAGAAGGGGCAGAGTAAAAACACCGCTTTTGGGTGAAGTGGCAGCGTGTTGTGTTGTTTTGCTTCAATCGGTGGTGTGACAAACTTCCCCGTGGAGATTTAGCTGCTTGGGAAACAAAAGGTTTTTGTTTTAGCTTTATGCGTGCAAAACAAAGCTGAAGTTGGTCTAGGACTTGAAATCCAACACAGCAAAACTGGTGCTTTTTCACATCTTATAGGAGCCAAAAACCTGTATATCATCTCTGTGAAGGGGATCAAGGGACGACTGAACAGACTTCCTGCTGCTGGTGTGGGTGACATGGTGATGGCTACAGTCAAGAAAGGCAAACCAGAGCTAAGGAAGAAGGGTGAGTAGACATGAGAAACTCTTGGGTTTCAGGTTCTCCATTTACTGGAAAATGGGAAATATTCTTTTTGCAGTTTTCAAGTGCTTGCTTTTCTTTTGAGAAACTAGACCAGAATTTATATTGCTACCATTTCCGAGTGCTCATCGACCCTTTCCTACTTCATTTTTTTTCTGCAAGCTGAGTATTTAACCTGACACATTACAGCTCAGTTCATCAGACACTTGTGGACCACACCGTGTGAAGTTCTCTAATTACTAATTGCCTGTCTAAATACATAAGGTGGCACTAAGTGAATATATGTTTTTAATAGGTGACACAGTAAAAAAAAAACAGGTGAAATCAGAGTTTGTTTGCCACTATTAGCCAAGTTTCCTGTTCTGGAATTAACTGTGTTACATTGTCAAGTGATATAAGGATGAGTTTATGGAGCCTCTGGCTGGGTCTTCCTGTAGGAGCTGTGATAAACTCTGCTGACACCACCAGTGAGCATAGAAAGAACATCAGGTGGGCTGGAAATGTGGCTTAGTGGTAGGGTGCTTGCCTAGCATGCATGAATCTCTGGGTTCCATTTCTCAGTACCACATAAACAGAAAAGGCCAGAAGTGGGCTATAGCTCAAGTGATAGAGGGCTAGCTTTGGGCAAAAGGATGGTGCCTAGAACCTGAGTTCAAGCCCCAGGACTGTCTGGAAAGAGAGAGTGAGCAGTGAGAATCGAATAATGTTCTTCAGAGATACACTTGGAAGCCAGCGCTACATTATAGATGAGACTAGATGTCAGAAGTTTGGTTCAAGGTCTTGGTAGTAGAAGTTAAAAGGGAACTAACTGCACATGGCTTAATCATGGACTATATGACCCAAAGGATTTCTTTCCCACTAGGCAGTTCTCAGCAGTTCCTCTGCTGCCTGACAGGCACTTCAGTTCCTCAACTTTGTCGCTGTGCTAACTTAGGTCTGTTTTAGGATACCTTGCTCTTCCAGAGAAGCCCTAGACATCTATGTTATCATAGATGTTATAGATGTGATGGATTGCTCCTTGTGTGTGAGCTTGATCTCTTCACAACTAGTGGACTCCTTAACCTTTTGGTTAGAAATACATCTTTTGGTTCCCATTTAATGTCATCCTCGGACTTAGTAGCTCTAACTGTGATTAGTTATTTATCAATATGTTGGGTCAAGGATGAATCTGTATTGGGTTTTTTCCTCTTCTCAGAACACTCCTTGGATCTGGTCAGTAGCCTGGGGAGCTGTCAGGGAAGAGCAGAACATGTGGCCCTTAATTTGGATGAGATGGCAGTAGGATGTACTGTTGATCTCTGTCCGTGGTGGGACAGACCAAAGTATTCATCTTAGCTGTGAATTTCCAATTTTGCTTGTGTCTTTGATCTTATTTTTTTTTCCTTTTGCTGGTAGGTCATGGGGCTTGAACTCTGGGCTTGGGCGCTGTTCCTGCGCTCTTCAGCTCAAGGCGAGTGCTCTACCACTTGAGCCACAGTGCCATTTCCCGTTTTCCAGTGGTTTATTGGAGATAAGAGTTTCATAGACTTTCCTGTCTGAGCTGGCTTTGAACCGCGATCCTCAGATCTCAGCCTCCTGAGTAGCTAGGATTACAGGTGTGAGCCACCGGAGCCAGGCTGATCCTTGTTTTTGCTAAGTTTAGTTATGCGTGAAGAGGGGAATACTGAAACTCTAGGCTGATGGCCTTATATATACCAGGATTTATAAAAAGAGGTTTAGTATTACATTTGTCTGATACTTGGCCTCAAAGGTAAAGTAACCAAAATCCTTGTCCCTATAGTTAAGGTGTTTCCTCGTGGGTACTAAGCTTTGCCTTTACTAAAACATGACCATGCTCAGTCTTACTTTGGTAACCCCAGTTACTTCGGGAGGCAAACATTACCAAGATTGAGGTTAACGACCAACCCACTCAAAAGAGGCCTCAGCCAGTAACTGGGATTGGTGGCATGTTTCTATCATCTAAACTCTGCAGGAGACATAAATAGGATTGCAGTTCTAGGTAAAAAAAAAACACAAGGGGGGCTGGGAAGGTGGTGCAGTGGTAGAGTGTTTGCCTTGCATGCATGAGGCCCTGGGTTCGATTCCTTAGCACCCCATAAGCAAAAAGAAAAAAGCTGGAAGTGGTGCTGTGGTCCAAGTGGTAGAGCACTAGCCTTGAACTGAAGAGCTGAGGGACAGAGTTCAGGCCCTGTGACCAGACCTCCCCCCCCCCCCCAAAAAAAAAAAGGGCTGGGAATGTGGCATGGTGGTAGAGTGCTTGCTTAGCGTGGGTGAGTCCCTGGTTTCAACCTCAGCGCCACATAAACAGAGAAGGCAGCAAGTGGTGCTGTGACTCAAGTGGTAGAATTCTAGCCTTGAGCAAAGGCAGTTCAGGGACAGTGACCAGGCCCTACGTTCAAGCCCCAGGACTGGCAAAAAAAAAAAAACCCACACACAAGACTTAGACTGAATAAAAAAGCATGCCAAGGAATGGAGGGTGAATGATCCTGGATAAGGGAAGTTGAAGGCCTATACATGATTTGACATCTCCTTACTCAGTAGCAATCTCTTACTAGATGAAGTGAGGGAAATGTAAAAAGTATTTAACAAATTAGTAGTCTTTCCAAAAGTTCAAAGCCAGCCCCAGCAGGAAAGTCTATGAGATTCCAGTTAACCACCAGAAAACCAGAAGTGGCACTACGGCTTAAGATGAAGAATGCTAGTCTTGAGCTGAGGAGCATAGGACAGTGCCCAGGCCCAGAGTTTCATAACTGACCAAAAGGAGAAAAAAAAATGTCCATGCAAGCCAAAAGGTGGTGCTTTGTGTTTTTTTGGGGCGGGGGTCAGTCGTGGGGCTTTAACTCTGGACTTGGGGGCTGTTCCTCAGCTTTTTAGCTCAAAGCAAGCACTCTACCACTTGAGCCACAGTGCCACTTGAAGCTTTTTCTGTTTATGCAGTGCTAAGGAATTGAATCCAGGCCTCATGCATGTGAGGCAAGCACTCTACCACTGAGCCACCTTCCCAGCACCAAAGGTGGCACTTTAAAGGGTGTCAGGGTTTGTGCTATTTCTGTCCTCTGTTGTTAGGAAATAAAAGTTAATGGTGGGGTGGGAATTGAACATTCCTCAGCACCACATGAGCAAAAAGAAAAAAAAGCCAGAAGTGGCACTGTGTCTCAAGTGGTAGAGTGCTGGCCTTGAGCTGAAGAGCTGAGGGACAGCGCCCAGGCCCAGAGTTCAGGCCCCACGACCAGACCCAAAAGAAAAAAAAAGTTGGTGATTTATTCCTCTACCCAGAGGAATAAATTGCTTCCTTTTGTGGAACGCTGGGAATTGGGTTTAATGACTGCTGTTTTTTTGCCCCATTAGTACATCCGGCAGTGGTAATTCGACAACGAAAATCATACAGGAGAAAAGATGGTGTGTTCCTTTATTTTGAAGATAATGCAGGTGTCATAGTGAACAATAAAGGGGAGATGAAAGGTAAAATCATTGTTTAGTTGTTTGCAGGGTTGTCTGGGCTTGGGAGATGCTTAGCAAAGAACTTGCAGTCTCACCTGTCCTTTTCCCCCTGTTTTTAATGCAGGTTCAGCCATCACAGGACCTGTTGCAAAGGAATGTGCAGACTTGTGGCCCAGGATTGCGTCTAATGCAGGCAGCATCGCATGATCCTTCAGTGCATTTGTAAAAATCTAATAACCCATTAAAAATTATTTGTGCTCAATGTTTGCCCTCCTTTCTTGGCATACCTTATAATCATTGCCTTCTGTAAAAAATTTGTGAAAAGAGCTGGGAAGGTGGCTGGTAGAGTGCTCCCCTAAGGATAAGGGTTCAAAGTGAGCCCAGGCAGGAAAGTTCACGATACTTATCTCCAATTAACCACCAGAAAACCAGAAGTGGCACTGGCTCCAAGTGCTAGAACACTCACCTTGAGCTCACTGACAGTGCCCAGGCCCAGAGTTCAAGCCCTACAACTAATAATTTTTTTTGTAAAAGTAAAAAAGGTCCTTTAGCTTACAGAACTTACATACTTTCATTTTATATATTTCTAGTTTCTGCTGTAAAAATTGGTTTTATGGGGGCTGGGAAGGTAGCTCTGGTAGAGTGCTTTCCTTCCATGCATGAGGCCCTGGGTTCCATTCCTCAGCACCACATGAGCAGAAAAAGCTGGAAGTGGCGCTGTGGCTCAACTGGCAGAATGCTAACCTTGAGCTGAAGAGCTGAGGGACAGTGCCCAAGCCCCACAACTGACAAAAAATGTTTTATGCCTCAATTGTAGATTAGGTATCTTTTTTTTTTTTTTTTGTCCGGTCATGGGGACTGAACTCAGCCTGGGAATCCTGTCCCTCAGCTCTTCAGCTCAAGGCTAGCACTGTACCACTTGAGCCACAGTGCCACTTCAAGCTTTTTTTTTTTTTCCTTGTGTGGTGCTGAGGAATCGAATCTAGGGCCTTAAGCATGCAAGGCAAGCATTCTACCACTGAGCCAGCTTCCCAGCCCCTAGATTAGGTATCTTTAATGGCAGAGAACCCTGTAGAATTTCCTACCATGAAATAAGAATTTGAGATAAGGTAGAGGTAATAGATCATAGATACTCTCATGGGCTTGGATGTGAGTAGAAGCCCGCCTCCCCTAAAGTATTGTTTACAAGCTTTTAACACAATTGCCATGCAATGTTTCCACAAGGGAGACACCTGTGTGGGTGTGGGTATGGGTGTGTATGCATGCACCGGAATTCAACTTGTAGTTTTCAGCCACAATCCTCAGATCTCACCCTCCTGAAGTAATTAGGGTAACAGATAAGTAAGAGCCACCAGTTCTTGGCTAGAGATAGTTGGACTGACAGGATGACCATATACACAGTATTTTGTATATTTGTGGTAGTTATAACATTCTTACAAACTAATTTGAGAATATATGAGGGAATGGAATAATGGCGGCCAGCATGCCAGGTGTAGAACCTGATAACCAGAATGGATGCTCACCATTAATAATCATATCCAGAAGTATTACAATTGTTGGTAGTTCAGTAGTTGATCATGGGGAAATGAAGTTGTACTTTGGATCAGTAGTTTGATGGGGTCAGCACCATAGATCTCACTCTCCTGAGTAGGATTACACTGGTGCCTGGCTTCCTTTGGTGGTGGTAGTGGTGGTGGTCGTGGGGCCTGATCTCTGGGTCTGGTGCTGTCCCTGAGCTCTTCAGCTCAAAGTGAGTGGTCTGCTGGAGCCACATTGCCACTTCTGTGCCTTCGTTGTTTTGTTTTTGGTTGGTCATGAGGCCTGAACTCTGCCTGGGCGCTCACCCTCAGCTCTTCAGCTCAAGGCTAGCGCTCTACTACTTGAGCCACAGCACCACTTCCAGCTTTTTTTGCTTATGCGGTGCTGAGGAATTGAACCCAGGGCCTCATGCATGCAAGGAAAGCACTCTACCACTGAGCCACCTTCCCACCCACCCCACTTTTTTTTTTAAGCTGTTTTTGTTGTTTTGTTTTGTTTGCTAGTCTTGGAGCATGGATTCAGGTTCAGGGCCAGAGCACTGTCCCTAAGCTCAAGGCTAGTAATCTGCCACTTGGGCCACAGTGCCACTTTTGGCTTTTTCTGTTTATGTGGTGCTGAGGAATTGAACCCACAGCTTTGCATGCTAGGCAAGCACTCTACCACTAAGCCAGTCACATTCTCAGTGCTTAGCAGTATAGCTGTTTTTATTTTTCTTTTCTTTTTTGGTACTAGTGGTTGAACCCAAGGCATTGCACGTGCAAGGCAAGTGCTTTGCCACTGAGCTGCTTTCTTTTTAAAAGAATGAGGGGGAGGGCTGGGAAGGTGGCTCAGTGGTAGAGCGCTTGCCTTGCATGCATGAGGCCCTGGGTTTGATTCCCAGCACCACATAAGCAAAAAGAAAAAAGCTGGAACTGGCGCTGTGGTTCAAATGGTAGAGCGCTAGCCTTGAGCTGAAGAGCTGAGGGACAGCGCCCAGGCCCAGAGTTCAGGCCCCACGACCGGACCAAAAAAAAAAAAAAAGAATGAGGGGGACTGGGAAGGTGGCTCTGTGGTAAGAGTGCTCACTGGAGGCCCTGGCTTCAATTCCTCAGCACAACATAAACAAAAAGCTGAAAGTGGCACTGTGGCTCAAGTGGTAGCTCCCAGGCCCAGAGTTCAAGCCTCAAAACTGACCAAAAAAAAAAAAAAAAAAGGATGAGGGAAATCAGGAAAAGCAAAGGAAGGGGTGACATCTAAAAAAGTATGTTCATGCTTGGCAACAATGGCTTGCACCTGTAATCCTAGCTACTCAGGATGCTGAAATCTGAGGATAACTGTTTAAAGCCAGCCTGGGTGGAAGAAATATATACAGACCCACATACTGATTACCTGACCAAATGGTATATCCTCTGTATAACACCTTAAGGACAAAATTATGATAAAGGATGAGCAGAAGTTTGAGTGAAGAGAGCAAGGGTACAGATTAGTGGTTAGGAGTCCTGAAGTTTGGTCCTGGATCTAGCTTAAGTGAAATTGTTTTGTTTTTTGTCATCAATAAAGCTGAGACTGACTTCAAACCTTGATCCTCAGAGCTCAGCCTCTGAGTATCTACAATTACAGGTGTGGGCCACCGGTGCTGGTGGCAGCTTTCTAAGCTTTGATTACTTCCTTACTTGAGTGGATTAGCTTGCTGGTCTGGAGGCATCCTGCCATTTGAGCCCAGCTTTTTGCCGATTATTTTGGAAATTGCCCCCTGACTTTTCACTGGACCTGGGTTGGACCCCGCATCCTCCAGATTTCAGTCTGAGTCACAATACAAGTGGGAGCCCCCGGTGCCCCATTTAAACTATTCACTCTTAAGGTGGGAAGTGTAAGTAGATGCCCTCTGAACTCTTCTGTTTAATTATGGATACTAGCACTGGAGAGATCCTAATGAAGCCATGAGGCAGTGGACACCTACCCTGCTCTTCAAGGATAAAGTGGAAGCCAGGCCAAGGATGCTCAACCTGCCCACATTCAAGTCTCCACATTGGAGCCTCCAGGTCCAAGCAAAGTGTATGGGCGTGTGCGGGCAACTTCCCCAATGCCCCCCCCCGGACCCCACCCAGCCGAAGAACGGCGAAGAACAATAGGGTTTGTGTCGTAGGGTTCCCTGATGCCCTGTAACCTTTGCGCAGAGCAAAAGAGCTTCATCTCCTTCCCACTGGAAAGGTCTTCCCGACGCTGCAGGGGCTGCGATGGCGAATTTGTACGAGTGCCCTCTGCGACTGGAGAAGGGCTTTATTTTGGATGGGGTGGCTGTGAGCACAGTCGCCCGGGGCTACAGTCTCACCAGGCCCAAGCTGTGGTCTGCCATTCCACCCTACAACGCGCAGCAGGACTATCACGCCCGCCGCTACTTCCAGAGCCACGTGGTCCCGCCTGTCCTGCGGAAAACTGAGCAGGTAGGCGAGCATCTCCCCGGATCCCCGGGTTTCCAGCCTCCCCTATCAACCCTCCCCAAATCTGAGTGTCCAGCATCCTCAGCACCAAGGACTCACCCCCCTCCGACTCCCACCCTCTCCGCAGCTGTTGTTGAAATCCACAAAGTGGAGGAGGGCTCTGGCAGGGGCTGATGAGGATTGTTTCATCTCAGGTTTGGGCCAGGCCAGGAGTAGAGCTCAAAGCAGCTTTGTGCCAGGCTTGGGTTTCATGGCTCTCTGTGATGTCACAGGCGCGGCCGGGGAAGTGACCTCTCCGCTGCAAATCCTCAACAAAAAAAAAACCCACAGCAAGCCAGACAAAGGGAATTGTCTTAGTGACAGTTGTAGGCACCTCTTGGCCTGTGACATCGGAGTTGCAGGGCAGGGGTGGGTTTTGCAGCCACTTTCCTCATTAGCCCCAGCTCTGCGAGTTCCTCCTGAAGCTCCTCCTCCCCTGTAGAGCATGCCCCAATCAGAGATTCTGAGGCTGTTGGCTCATGTGGCTGATAGTCCCAATTTTTCCTCCAAGACTATTTTCAAGTATTTGTTATTTACTTAGAGTTGGAGATTGCCATATTTTGTCCAGGCTAGCCTAAAATTCCTGGGCTCAAGTAGCCTGGCACAGCCTCCTGAGTAACTGTAACTACAGTCACCAGTCACCTAGTCAAGCTTTCCCACATTTTTACTTGCAGTAATTGTGTTTTCATTGACAATGTAGAGAAAGGGTAAATAGCACCTGTAAGGTCCGCTCCTGGATGGCGAGCAGACACCACCCTCCTCACAGCAAAGTCTCCACCCAGTACCTGCTTTACCTAGAAAACTGGCACACCTAAAAGAGGTCACATCTGAATTTGATGTGGCCACACCTTTCTCTGCCCATATCCTAGATAAGGCCCAGATGCTCTCTTTTCTAGCTCTTTCCTCTCTTTTCTAGCTCTTCTCTCTCTTTCCCAGCTCTCTCCTCTGTTTCCCAGCTCTCTCTCTCTCCCAGCTCTCTCTTCTCTCTCCCCCAAGCACTCTTTCTCAGCTCTTTCCTTCTCAGCTCTTTCCCAGTTTTCTCTCTTACCCAGCTCTCTTTCCCAGCTTTTTCCCAGGTCTTTTGCCAGCTGCATGGAGTTCCAACCTGGCCTGGTCCCAGCAGGTCTACTGAATAGACCTACCCCTTACCTGAATACCACGTGCGTGATGCTGTTCTTACTCGGCTACCTCTTTTTTTAAAATCCTAACAGCACCTAGGCCCTAGGTGTAAGACTCCGTCTCAACACACACACACACACATCTGGCACATTAGTGTTTGAGCCACACTTCCACTTCCAGAATTTTGCTGGTTGGAAATGAGTCTCCTGGACTTTTCTGCCCTGGCTGGCTTAGAACAGTGATCCTCAGATCTCAGCCTCTTAAGGAATTACGATTACAGGTGCGAGCCCCTGTTGTGCTGTATTTAAAAGTTTGAAAATAGGGCTAGGAGTGTGGCTCAGTGGTAGAGTGCTTGCCTAGCATGCATGAAGTCCTGGGTTCGATTCCTCAGTACCACATAAACAGAAAAAGCCAGAAGTGGTGCTGTGGCTCAAGTGGTAGAATGCTAGCCTTACACAAAAGAAGCTCAGTGTCTTGCCCAGGCCCTGAGTTCAAGCCTCAGGACTGACAAAAAAAAAAAAGCTGGAAAATAATACTAGGCACTGGTGGCTTGCACCTGTAATCCTAGCTCCTTAGGAGGAGACTAAGATCTAAGGATCCCATTTCTTCTTCTCCTTCTCCTTCTTCTGTCATGGGGCCTGAACTCTGGGCCTGGGTGCTGTCCCTCAGCTCTTCAGCTCAAGGTTAACGCTCTACCACTAGAGCCACAGTGCCAATTCCAGCTTTTTCTGCTTATGTGGTGCTGAGGAATCGAACCCAGGGTCTCATGCATGCAAGGCAAGTACTCTACCACTAAGCCACCTTGCACAGCCCATGAGAATCCCATTTTGAAGCCACCCTGGGTAGGAAATTCCATGAGATTCTTAATCTCCAATTAACCATTCAAAAGCCAGAAGTGGAGCTGTAGCTCATAAAGTAATGTACTAGCCTTAAGCAACAGAGATAAGCGCTAAATTCTAAGCCCCATACAATAATAACAATCATATAACGTGTATTGTTTTTACTATAGCTGGTTATACTTTGTGCCCTGCCCCTCTGAGCAAGGTGACTGATAGTCTTTTATATTTTCTTTCTCTTTCTCAGGATCACGGTGGCACTGGAAGGGACGGCTGGATAGTAGATTATTTCCACATTTTCGGGCAAGGACAGAGATACCTCAACAGGAGAAATTGGGCAGGGGCAGGCAAGTGCCACCTCTTACAGCCTCACACAGTCACACTCTGAGGAAGAATAGTGTTTACCCACAGCTTAGAGAAACTGGGCTCCAGAAAGGTCTGGTTTGGCAGGAGAAGAGGCCAGGGATGCATCCTTCCAGCTTTTCTTCTTGTATATGAACAAGTGGTGCCACACTGCTTCTAACTCTCAATTCCTGAGCACCTGAAGAATGTGTGTCCAGAATTTCCTGCCTTCACACTCTTCCCAGGTTGCAGCTGGGGTACCAGCTGTGTTGCATGATAGTGATTTGTTAGGGAGGGTTGAACTGAGATTGGAATTCCTATCTGTTCTCTGTAAATCCCACATTCCATTCTGTCACTGCAACCCTAAACACACTGTGTCTTGCTCATTTTTCAAGCTCAGTTTGACAGGCAAGGGGAGGTTGTGAGGAATTTTCTGGCAGAGTGAACCCTCCTCTTAGCTCACCTCCACCACCCTCTGGCCACATGATAGTCACATGATCCCTTGCAGCATGCGGCCATCCATTTTCTCCAAATGGGTTAGAGGTGAAGGTAAAAATGTCTCACCTCTCCTGGGTACCAGGCAAATTCAGCCAAGCCTAGAAGCTTCTGGCCTCTCCTGCCTCCGCACATTATCATTCACAATCTTGCAACTATTCCTGTGGCGGGGTTAACATCTAAGAAACTTGTGTCTCCTGAACCTACCAGCCCTTGGTTTTGATTAAGAAGCTGGGGAACTTGAGGAGTGAGTATTCAACTATAGATTTGGGCTGCAATGGGGGGTTGTATGTGGCATTCCACACCAGCCTATCATAGGAGAGAAGGCTGCCTACAGGCTCAGTTTCTGTCTTTTCTCCCCAAGGGCATTCCCTCCAGCAAGTGACCGGCCACGATCACTACAATACTGACCTGAAGGTGATTACTACAGGGATGAATGGTAGGTTTGGCTACCGCAGGAACACACCAGCCCTCCGGCAGCGCACATCGGTGTTTGGAGAGGTCACTCAGTTTCCTCTCTTCTGATTGCATCACTTCACAGCCCTTGACCTGAATTTCTAAAACATGTTTAGATGAAGTCAGTTATTTTATATTAAAAAACAAAAGCGTTTTATTTGTGCTTAAAGTGTGCTATTTCTTTCCTAAGGTAGATGGAGGGGGCAGGCTGGTTTCTTTACCTCTGAAAAGGAGGGGAGAGGGACAAAAGGTTCTGTGGTCTACTCCTTTGTCCTCCTTGCTAACAAGGGCCCTTTCTTTTCCCCTAGGCTGGTGTGATAAGAAGGAATCACACTTTTCCCTTGCAATATCACAGATCAAATCCAGGGCCTTGCACATTCTAAGCCAATATTCTATCCTTAACACTAATGCACCACACTTTTACTCTCAGTAAAGCACTTGTGCAGGAATCAGAAGGGCCTGGCTACTGTTTCCATCAGGAACAGAGGAGGAAGTGGGGCACTGGTGGCTAATGCCTGTAATCCTAGCCACTAGGAGGATGAGAGCTGAGGATCTTAAAGCCAGCTTGGGCAGACAATTCTAAGAAACAGTTTCCAACTAGCTGGCAAAGAAGCTGGACTAGAGGCACAACTCAAATGGTAGAGGGAGAACTAGAGGCTGTGATCTGAATTCAAGCCCTGGAACACAAACACAGAGTAAATACAGGAAGGATGGTGTGCTGTAATCCTGGCACTTGGGAGTCCAAGACAAAAGGGTCATAAATTTGAGGCCAGTCTAGCTACCTAGCAAGTTCCAGGAAAGCCTAGGCTACATATTGAAACTGTAGCAAAACTAAAAACAGGGCAGGAACAGGCAGTAGGCCAACATATTGGACCTCCCTTGCCCTGAGAAGAATTTTCTGATTTTCCTCATACATTAAACCCCATCCAAAAAAAATGAATGCTCTCTTTTTACCCTCCATCAAAAGGAAGGGAATAAACAAGATGATAACAGAGGAGTTTCTTAGTCCAAGGATTGTGACACAGATTTAACAGTATTCTCTGCTTATTAGCTGTTTCCAGGATGTCATTTTTAAGTATCTCCACCCAGTTTATCTGTAGCCAGGAGATTAGCCAAAGGTGAGGCTTCAGAACACAAAGCTTGCCAGAGCATTAGTGTGGGCGGAACTGTGTCACATTGAGTCACCATAAGTGGACAAGGAAGAGAAACATAGCAAGGTGTGGGGGTATAGCTCAGGGGTAGAGCATTTGACTGCAGATCAAGAGGTCCCTGGTTCAAATCCAGGTGCCCCCTTCCCAGCTGTTTCTTAACTTTTATAAATGGGAGTAGGAATAAATGCTGCCAGGTACTAGAAAATACAACTTTGAATTCATTCTTGTCCTGAAGTACTTGTCCTTCCTATGTTCCAAGGGACTTCCTTCCAAGAAAGCCCCTGCTGGGCTTAGGATAAACTTGGGTTGGAGGTGTGACTTAAGTGGTAGAGAACCTACATACCAATAACAAAACCCTGAGTTCAAACACTAGTACTGCCACAAAAAAAAATTCCCTGAGAAAATGCTAAATTCACAGTTACAGCTGAGACCTGTAAACACAAGAGTGACAATCTGATATGTGGAACTAAAGGTGAAACTTCTTTCTTTTTTTTTTTAATTTTTTCTTTTTTTTTTTTTTTGGCT